CCAAACAAGTTTGGTTTAACCAACTTTCCACTTAAAATTTTAGGGAAGATACTGCTCAATAGGGAACATAAACAACTTGTAAAACATTATTAAGCCTAGATACTCAGACCAAGTTTAGCAGTGTCAGTATGAACTGGTTAGCTTGACAAAAAATAATCTATGATTTATTTGCCAGAAATTATTTTTACAATAAAGTTGATTGGTTCCTGGCCTGTGTGTACCTGGATATGGGTATCCTGTCCTGTGAAATCCTTTCTGCTACTATGGAAACAACATTGACTTGATCTCTAGTTCCTTTATGTGTCTGTCTGCTGACTTCCTAGATTTTTCTCCATGTATTGATTCTGATTGGACTTTGGCTGTGCTTAGCGATTTCTTTCTAGTTTACAATTCTGTCCTATGATTGTGTACTGTTAAGTAAAGATTAGGAAAGAACAGAAAGTCACAAATATGTGGCCAGGGTACAGTAAACTAGTGTTGAAGCTTGAGTGTGCCCAATAACAGGGGCAGTCTAAGTCAATGAAAGGCCTTGGAGGAGAGTCAGACAGCCATGACACTACACGCACCAGGAATAGCCAAAGTGCAGTCAGTTAGTAGGGACCTGTCAAGTTGTCCATAATCCCTGGTTTAGGGTTGGAATGTCCATAGAATCTATGGGATAAGCTCATGCCCCAATATTTTGCTTCTGCTTCAGAGAATCCATTAGAAGTGTATGTCAGCATCGTCTGGTTTTGTAATGTTTTTGGCAGTCGTGAAGAACTGGGAATTTTGGTTGTAATGTTTTACGTCTGAAACCCACAAGAGATGAAATAAACAGTATATTATTCAACCTATAGCATTGCCACAGTTTACTACCTAATGCCTTGCACATATCATATAGCATATATTGACTGTAATCATTTTTTGCAGACATTTGGGTCAAAAGGTGATAATGCTGATTTTCAATTTGCCTAACTAGCACACAAATATGTGTATTATAGTAGATTGCAACCCAAACAAGTTTGGTTTATTCAACTTTTCATGTACAATTTTAAGGAAGATACTGCTCAATAGGGAAAATGAACAACTTGTAAAAATTATTGCTCCATAATGGTTTCAAGTAAAAATCCCAAACATAAGGCCAGGGATAAATGATCTGAAATGATCCTATATGATACCTGAAGCCAGGGTGGATTTTAAAGGATACATATATTACCACAATTAGTTACACTAAGGATAGGCATTCATTACATTTATTATTATTATAATTATTATTACATTGTACCCCTCTAAAATGATTCACAATGGGAAGATCCTATTGGTCATCATCTATGAAAGGGTTTATGTATGCAGTATGCATGTACACTAAGGGTTGTGTAGCCATACAATGCATACATCCAATGTACAAACAGGCATTATCAGTAAATGATCTGATTTGAATCCTGGTGGAATTTTGCACATGTTTCTGGGTATATGTAGTTATTAATAGAGATACCTCCAGATCATGTTGCAGCAAAGGCTAGTTGCAGGGATCCTGAGGATAATGCCATTTTAGTTTTTGCAGATGACACCAAGCTGTGCAGTGGAATAACGTCCTTACAGGATGTCTTCAATTTACAAGCCAACCTCAATGCACGGTTTAATTGGGCAACTATGTGGCAAATGAACTTTGATGTTGATAAATGTAAGGTGATGCACTTGGGGACTAAGAATAAGCATGCATCATACATACTAGGGGGAGTACAACTGGGGGAATCAATGGTGGAGAAGGATCTGGGAGATCTGGGAGATCACAAGCTTAATAATGGCATGCAATGCCAAGCTGCAGTTTTTAAAGCGAGCAAAATACTCTCCTGTATTAAAAGAGGTATAGATTCCAGGGAGAGAGATATCATATTACCCCTGTACAAATCATTAGTAATACCTAATCTGGAATATGCAGTTCAATTTTGGGCACCAATTCATAAAAAGAACATTGGGGAACTGGAGAAAGTACAGAGAAGGGCAACCAAACTGATAAGAGGCATGGAGGAGCTCAGCTATGAGGAAAGATTAGAGGAACTGAATTTATTCTCTCTTGAGAAGAGGAGATTAAGGGCGGCGATGATCAACATGCATAAATACCTCAGTGGTTCATATAGTGAACTCGGTGTAGAGCTATTCACCCTGAGGTAATCACAGAGGACAAGGGGGCACTTTTTACGTCTGGAGGAAAAGAAATTTAATCTCCAAACACGTTAAGGTTTCTTCACAGCGAGAACTGTCAAAATGTGGAATAGACTCCCTCAAGAGTTGGTTCTGGCCAGGTCAGTGGATTGCTTTAAAAAAGGCCTCGATTGTTTTTTGGATACACAGAATATAACCGATTACTAACATTTATAGGTAAAGTTGATCCAGGGAATATTCGATTGCCTCTCGGGGGATCAGGAAAGAATTTATTTCCACTGCAGGAGCAAATTGGATCATGCTTTGCTGGGTTTTTTTGCCTTCCTGTGGATCAACTGTGGGTATAGGATTCTAACTTTTTCTTTTTTTTTTTTTTTTAATGGTTGAACTAGATGGACGTTTGTCTTTTTTCAGCCAGACTAACTATGTAACTATGTAATGCGGCATCTCTCTTTGTGTTGGAGACCTGATCAGACTGTCCAACCGGCCTGGAATGGAGCTTCTCACTGGCAGGAACTGTGGTGTGACACTAGAACTCAGAGTATCCTATCTACTCTACTATCTATCTACTATGCACTTTAGTCTCTAGTAATTTCTAAAATAACAAAAGCAGTAAATAAACTATATTGCAATAAACAAATTCACTTACTAATCTATAGAAAGGTGACCACTACATACAGCACAGACCTAGCTATCTGGTACTCTGCATGTAAAATAATAACAAATACAGGGCAGAGATACTCTGTGTATCACAAGAATTTAGGTATAGACTCAACAGCTGAAGTTAAACTATTAGATCATAGGAATGCTTGCATGATCATCTCTTCTGGCTTGGAGCATGCACAGGATATGTGGCTGAGACTTTCTCTCTCCCTACTTCCTTCTTCCAGAATTTCAAAGCCTACAACCAGGAGCAGGAATTGCATACATAATATATTTACAGGCATTTACAAATTCAGGTAGCAGAGGGCAGTAGATCCTTACAGTTGCCTTTTGAATATTAAAGCAGATTATCTTACCAAATTTTTTTTTTTCAAGATCAAAGTCAGCTATGGAGCCTAAAATCTCCTACTGGTGCTAAATACATTAAATAGTCTATTTGTACCATAATACGTACAGTATATCACCATAATATGATAAGTAATAAGTTATTATTCCAGAAAGTCAGTTTAATTAAAGTAGTATGTAGAACCTCTGTACTGTAACAAGTCATAGTTACAGTAGGTAAAAAATCATGATCTACAAGCTTGTTACAAGTTGGTGAGTAAATACTAACGCTGGGAAAATGTGTGTGTGTGTGTGTGGAAAGGGGGGGGGGTTGATGGGGCAGGACAGCGAGGCAACTAGCATTCAGATTAAACATATTTGTTGCCAGTATTGAATTGTATAGCTTTCCAATTATTACTGCACAATTTTCTTAGCTAGACAAATACATTTTACCTGCGAAGGGATTTGTATTTCTCTCTGGCCAGGTTTACCAGCTCTGCCTCACACAGCCCTGTCTGGCAGGACAAGAGAACTGAAATGTATCTACTGCAGTTCCATAATGCTTACAAGTCTTCTTCCCATACCCACCCTGTAACTGAACAGTGAAAGAAGAAGGGGCAGACTGAGGAACTCATCTTTCTGTCACTCTGCTTTCTTCTGTCAGCATTCTCCTCACACAGCAGTCCAATTTATTGGTTCCTTGTGCTTCTTCTCTTACCCCAATCTAAGCTTTGCTGTTCAGGGAACTGCCAGAGGCTAATACCAAGCTAAATTTGATTACTAAATTTGTTTGTATTTAAAAAAAAATACACACACAACCATATAAGAATGTATTAATGAATGCAGAGCCGCAGTTAATTGTATATTCTATACCTACTTCGAATTCAGCTTTAAGTTTTTGATTTATTGATGGCAGGACTTACAGACATGTGAAAAAGCAAGTGTACCCATGAAAAATTGTTGAGTTCTTCAACATATTTGAACAGGACAATATTTGGCCTTGATTCATGTAGTACTTAAAGATAAAGGTGATGTACTTGAACACCATGCGGTTTGCAGCTCTTTAACGTTCTTTTTTAAGATAGGCTGTGTATATTCTGATGTTTTACGTTTATTTTTATTGATCCTTTAGTCTTATGTAGGTGATTCTCACTTATAGCACATGGAATATGCTGTGGGTACATGGACAGCAGACTATGTAAAGTATATACAGTATGTTGGCTTAGGCTCTATTTATTATTCTGTCTATAATTATCCTCCACACTGCCAAACAGACATATTTTATCACTCTCATTAACACCCTCTCAGGCAGTCCCAGTTAATTCTTTCCTACTTTTAATGCTCTACTTTGTCCTTCACTGTCTCCACCCACTAACTCACTCACAGCCCATTAGATCACAAATCACTTCAAAAATAAGATCAATACAATTTGTAATGAGCTCTCCACTGTACAGATTTCTCCCCTACCTAATGTCCCATGTCCACCTCCACACTCAATACTTCCCTAGTTTAACCCTGCTACTATAGAGGAAGACATTAAAAGTTTTTCTAGTGCCCCCACCTAACTACCTGCCTTCTGGATCCCATTCCCTCACAAATATTATGGTCACCCTCTTGCTGTATCCTACACTCTCTTACCCTCTAAATCAGGGGTTCTTAACCTGGGGTCCATGGACCACTTAGGGGTTTCAGGGGGCCTGTAAGGATTAGATAAATGAAAAATAACATTAACATTCACTATACAGCCCTCCCCCTTGTCCTAATCCATAGTTACCAATGGGATGAAAAATAAAGAAAATGTGCCCTGCCACGTCTTATAGCACTGACTGCTAAGCTTCTCTTGACTTGTTGGCCCATGTTTACCATTTAACCACCTCCCGTCCAGCCGTTGTATATAAACAGCCGGACGGTGGCAGTGCAGGGTCGGGTGGCCGTTTATAAATGGCCTCCCTGTCCTCTCTCTGGGAGCATGCAGCACCACGATCCAGTGCCCCCTGTATCCTCCGGACACAGTGGAACGCCGATCGTCGTATGGGACCTCTGTGCGAGGTCCTGATCATGTGATCACTGATTGGCCAATCAGTGATCACATGCAGAGTAGTCTGTGATTGATCACAGAGGTCACATGGTACAAGGCTATTTACAACAGCCTTGTACCATGTGACAAGCTGTGACCAATCACAGCTCACACAGTATTTCTCAATGGCTGCAAGAATGCAGCCAGAGAGAAGGAGAAATTATTGCTTTTACAGCCTTTATGGGTGTAAAAGCAATCAGTTTAAGAAAAAAAAAAACATTCTTCATCACCCCCCAGAAGTAGTGCAGTGTCACCATGGTGACGCTGTACTGTTAGGGTGACAGTATTTAAAAAAAAATAATTATATAGCAAAAAAAATACAAATCCCAGTGGTGAATTAATACCACCAAAATAAAGCTTTATCTGTCTCAAAAAAATGCTAACAAATTGCACCACAATCGATGTACTGGCAGCCTGAGCAATTGTTACTGGGTCAGGTTAATTACGCAATTAACCCTTCACACTGCCACCACCTCCTTTTTGTACAGAGAAAGAGGAAACTCGGCGATATCAGTTATAACACTATAATGGTTGAGGTAATCTTCTGTATAACACGGTTATACAGAGGGTTAAACAAACACAGTAGCGTTCTCTTTAGAGGCAGGAATTCGTAAATTCCAATAAAGCGCTATAGAAACAGTTCAACACTTTCACAAGGAAAGATTTATTACTAAAAGGTTAAACGGGTGCAATAAAAATATTTACAGAAAAGATGTAACTAAGATATATATATATATATACATATACAGAGACTAACAGCACAACAAAGAGATATCAGAGAGAGGTGAAAGGGTTAAGGTACTTGCCAAAGTCCTGGGTTAGCAGATCCAAGTTTCAGAGCAAAAGGGCACGGGTCTCCCCAGGTGGTACTGATGTTAAAATGGGAGACGTCTTCAACTTTTTTCTCTTAGGCCTGACAGCCCAATTTGTAGTTCCCCAGCAGGGGGTGTCTCTGAAGTCAAGGACCAATACCCCGTTTAGGGCATGGAGGTCTGGGTGTGGACCTAAACTAGAGCCAAAATCTCTAGTAGTTCATATTTTGGCTCATAATGTTTTGTAGGCACAAGTGACATTCCACCCGCGGGTAGATTATTATGCAGACATGTCTGAGGATTGATTCGATATGAATTATGAAATGATACACTGAACGGTTCACAAGATCTATTTTTTGGCTTTCCTATGTATTCAAGATAAGGCGAGTGACCTATCAAATTGTTCGACTTCTGTTAGCCAATCTGACAATATGTCTGGTTTTTATGTAAGTCTCTCATATTCCAAGATATGAGACATAGGGGAAAAATGGATTTTTAAAAGTGTTAGCTGGTCCCGCCTTCCTTGGAATGTCTTGAACTCCAGGGAAAGCTTGCCTTATCTTATACGAGGTGTTACATTTTACAGGTTCTTCAGACAGCTAGGCCCCAGCTCCCTTGGGGACTTTATAGCTCCAAGCCCCCTGCTGGGAGCTGGCCTCCTGCGACACTCCTAACACACATACACACTGGCCAAATGTCGCTGTGACTCTCAGAAAGGGAGGGGGAGAATGAGGGGGAAATATGTTTGTCAGGATGGTTAACCCCTTTGCCAAGATGGAGGTTAAAGCCAAAATGGTTGAACCGTGTCCATCTCTGTGTGTATGCGGTTACAACAGGTACTCTTTACTTAAACATCTAGGGTCTGTTGGACCCCAGATCCCTCTTCTGCCCTTAAAAGCATCTGCATCTGATCAAACCAAGATTGGTTGATCAGATGCTTTCACAAGACAGTAACAGCTTGTTTACAAAACCAGAAGTGACAAAATCCTCACCGCTTCTGGTTTCTTAGATCACAGAGGTGATTGGGAAACCTCCGGTCATCTCTATGGTAAGCCAGCAGAACTACCTGCTTCAGTCCCATACTCTCTGGTGAAATGGAAGAGCCACGGAAGGCAGCTGAAGGTGGCCGGGGGTGGGCTCTATCCGCCTCATGTAAAAACAATTCAACAGCTATTTAGCGTCTAGTATCACTTTTACATTAAGGAACATCACTGGCTGAAATAAAAGGTAGGAGGGTCATGACTGCAGCTGCAGCCATGGCCCCACTATAACCACTTCAACCTGAAAATGTATGGGTACGTCCTGTGGACGGAAGTGGTTAAATTTGTATCATCGATATTTGCACAACTATCATCTTGTTCCACTCCATAACAGCATGTTCTAATTCTCATTTTCTGGTAGTAGTAGTAGTAACAGTAGTTGTAGCTTTGCATTGGATGAGTGTATTTAATGAGTGGCCATTACTTTTTGCATGAAAAGGAGTGAGTTTTGTGTTACTGTTGTTTACTTTATTCAAACTATGTGTATCTCATATATGAGGCAAGCAATTTTCAATAATATATATACTGTAAATATTTTGCATGCAAAGTTGTGTTTATATGAATATTGTGTTTATGTGAATATTTCTGCTCTAAAACTTGCACTGGTCACCTCCATACTTAAAAGTGTTTGCTGGACCCCACCAATCTTAACAACCTAAGCCTCATCTCCTTGCTTCCTTTTACTTTTAAACCCCTAGTCTACAACCACCTGAGCTACCACCTCACCGAGAATAACTTTCTTGATCCAATTCATTTTGTATTTTGTCTGCAACATTCCAGAGAAACTGCTTTCCTAAAACTCACAAATGACTTACTAATGGCTAAAACTATTGTTTAATTTTATTCTTGGACTTCTCTGCTGCCTTTGACACAGTTGCCACTCCTTCCTCAAAAAATTATATTTCCTCTAAAAAATTCAATTTCCTGAGTAGTCTCCGTGACTGTGCTCATTGTTGATTCTCATCTTACTTATTCCACTGCACCTTCAGTGTCACTTACAACTCTACCTCCTCTCCTATTCCTTTTTCCGTTGGGGTCCCCTAAGTCTCTGTCCTTGGACCCCTCTTATTCTCAATCTGCACCTCCTCCCTGGATCAGCTGATAGCCTCCCACAGCTTCCAATACCATTTCAATGCTGATGACACTGATATCTAATCTTCTGCCCCTCAGTTCACCCCATCAGTCTCCTCACACATCACTAATTTCAATATAGATGTCAAACCACTTCCTCAAATGCAATCTATCCAAAACTGAGCTCATAATATGTCCTCTCCCACATGACCCAATTTTCTGACTTCTCTGTGGAGATTGATGGCACAACTATAAGTCCATTCTTGCATGCCAGGGTGGTAGGTGTAACCTCTGGACACTGAACTTTCCTTAAAACCCCACATCCAGTTGCTGGCCAAATCTTGCCACCTCAATCCTGCAACATCTTCTAAAATATGCCCCTTCTTAACCAACAACACCACAAAGCTTCTAATTCACTCCCTGGTTATATCTCACCTCAACTACTGCCACTCCCTCCTTATTAACTTACTGTACCTTGGTTTACACAATCAATAAAATTGAAAATACTAACAAGAACTTACAAAGCCATTCACAACTCTACCCTCAGCTGCATCAGTAATCTTTTCCTAAAATACAAACCAAACCGTTCTCTTTATTCTACCCAAGACCTTCTGCTCTCTAGCTCACTCATCACATCCTCCCATACTCACCTACAGGGCTTCTCCAGAGCCTCTCCCATTCTTTGGAAACCCCTACCCCAATCTGTCTGATTATCGCTTACTCTATCCATCTTTAGGTGATCCCTAAAAATCCTTCTCTTTAGAGTCTATCATTTTTCTAACTAGTAAATTGTACTTGAACTTATTCCATCATATCACGTCAACAGTTTTTTTAATCTTTGTGTCACTTGAATCTTAAGCCAGCCATACGTGGGCCGAATTCCGAAAGAATAACATAATTTACTGGGGGATGTTTATTTCATTGTGCTCAATGTGTTAAGTGTCTAATACTACTTTAAAGTGATACTAAAAACATACTGTTTCATTTTCATCATCCCTTCTCTTCATGTATATGGATGATGGCACTGTATTTATTTTAATGAAAAAAACATCTAAGTAACTTTTTCATAATTGATATACAGCTGTCACGTAATTCAGCTCTTTCCCAGCCTACCTGCAGGGAAACATCAGCTTCTAGTCCTCTGCTGCCAATCACATATTCAAAAAAAGAAAAAACCCTCAGAATTCAAGAGTTCAAAGTAAAAATGAATGACTAATATCAAATAAACATTTTAGATTGTTAAACAAATATGTGTTTGAACTCAAATCTTTATTATTTTTTTGTGAAAAACATGGTGTGAGCTATCTAATGGGAGATTCTACCAATCACAGCTTGTTTCACACCACTCCAGCCTGTCCCCTTTATTTCTATATGTTTGGAATTACAAGGAGGTAAAGCTTCCATCAATCAACATGTAATATCCCACCCCTCGATTGTGCTTAGCTTTTTAGTGTCATAGAGGATAAGGGAGTAGACTATAATTTATCCAGTGTGTATATGCCCACTCTCTATAGTCACAGATAAGAAAAATAAGGAAATGAACAGCTTAGAAGGGAGCTGAAACTGGAGCATGCTCAGTAGATGTCAACAGCTGGTATACACAATGTCAGGCTGCAGTGGGGACACAGACAAGGAGGGAAGGACAATGAACAGGAGATTCAACCAGGTTTTTACAGAGTACAGAAATCCCATAGTGACTGTGTGAGTACGAGCATGTACTGACAGTTTTTAATGATGTGGGTTTAATAAGACTTTAAGCATACTTAAGTGGACTGGAATTAGACCAGTGCAGGACAGGTTCTAATTGACTAAGTTTGCAATAGGTTGTTATATAATGCACAGGCGAAGAAATAGCAGCCAATACTAAACAATCAAATACCAGCTTTCATAGTCTCGCTATACTAAGGTGACAAATGGTTATATCTGATTATTTTAGGACACATGTTACTACTTTCTGTTTTACTAAACAAGCGCCTTAATACGGTATTGCATCAGAAAAAGGTCTTAAACTGTTAGAAACCAATGCAAATGAATGCCTTTTAATGTATTGTGTTAGGGAACCCGTCAACCTGTCAGTGAAACAGCGTAAACTGCTATTTTAGTTTGACAGTCAACTAATAACCTCCAGAGTCCTGAATATGTGTCTGTCGTTATGGCTAATAATGAGTGTGCTTAAACAATCAACATGTTATACTCTTTAAAATATTTAGTCATTTTTTTTAAAGCAAGTGATGAGGTATTATTACATGCTTGATTTGAAAAAAAAAACTTACAGTAATGATAGATTTTTGAAAAGAATTAAGAAGGGA